TTTTCGTCAAAATTATACTAAGTCCGAATAACGGAGTGGAATTCGATCAGTGTTTACTAAAATGACAGCTAGACTGCGTGAGCTCGTGAGCACGAGTTCATCTTAATGAACATCGAAATGGTTAGTATTTTTTTAAATAATATTCATAAAAAATAAAATAATTAAAAAACTTTCCTGAGAAAATTTTTATTTATATTTGAAAACAATAATATTTACCACAAATAAAATAAAGAAGCGAAAAAGACATTCTCTCGACTAAACCGTATATATACATTGTAAGTATATTTCGATTTTATACTACACGGATTGAAATCTCCTTATACCTTTTGGAAAATTGCTATTGCTGATTATTCATAAAATGTATAAGTCAACTTATAAGCAGACGCCATGCAAAAAGTTAATGAAGATCATAGGGTTACGGTATGTAATGTGGGTCTAGTCCTTTCATTCGGCCTATCACGCAAATAAATAATTAATTAAGGAATATTACACAAAAAATAAGGAAAATATTGATCACTGATGATTGATAAATGTGTACCACACACAAATCAATTTATATCACAACATTTCAATACATTTTCAGCTCTCGTAAGTAATAAAACTGGTTGAGAATATCACTCTGTTCGGAGTTTTTAGCCGCCATGACTTCTAAGGTTAAGATGGGAAGGTTGCACTGACGATCATCAAATGGCCTGATTATGGCATTTATTGAATGGAATTACCTGATAATACACACTAGACGTAAAACTCACAGTTACTGTTTGAATATTTTATGTTTATTTTAATTGTTTAACAACGTTTTCACAAGTAAATCATGGACCCAACTTTAGGGACACATTTCTTTTCTATGTTCCTAACTTTGGCCCATGAAATTCATTTGACAGCATATAGCAATAAGAGTAACGTCAACAATGTGGTTTGCATTTGGATGATAAGGAACGAACAGGAAGGGAGATTTTTTCTGCCAAATCTGTATAATGAACATCACAATGTTTTGATTTAGATATTCTGCGGTCGAAAGACGATAAGCGAAATTTTTAATTTTTAATTTTTAACTTGAGTGATTTAATGTAGTTTTCGTAAAATTTTCTCTAAGAAATGTTTTGAGGAATGAAGAGTATTAAGTTAACAGTGATAGTGATAAAAAAAATACATAAGAAAACGTTACCAAGAGCGTTTTTTTTGAGAATCAAACAGGATAGGACGAAGTTGCATCCATAAATAGACCCAATTTGGGGACAATAGACCGATATTACATACATTTCCCTGGTGAGTTTTTGTCTTAAAAAAAGTAAGTTTTTCAACTTTTTGCGGTTCCTGATAGCAAACGACATGATAAGCATATCTAAGCATACCATTTAGCAGTAGAATATCGTTTGCAGGTAAATTAATTGATGAGTTATGATTAAAAACGTAATCTATGGCTGCATATTAGACCGAGGTTAGGGACGTATACCCTATGTCAAATGAAATGTATAAGCGGTCACACATACCTTTTATACATTCATATACGACCTATGTGGTTTGTCTTATGGAATGTATAAGGCTGATGTTTTGGCAAAAATTTATAAGTGAAACACATGAATAAAATAATTGATTTTCGTTTCGTGTATGGCACGCATAAACCATTTTTATACTAAGTTTGCATTCTCTCCATTTATACCGAACTTTGCGTCGGTACACACTTAGAAAAAATCACCGACTTCGGTAATTCATTTACCGAATTCTCAACAGCTGAACGGTCGGTAATGTTTTCGGTAATCTAGAACATTACCGAAAAATCTGTAAACTGGATCAAAAAAATTAGCTGTCAAATTTACCGAACGATCGGTAACGTTTACCGATGTGCATTGCTTGATTTGTAGTTGACTTTACCGGAGAACTGTAATTTTGAGGACGATATGCAAATCGAAAATTACAGAGAGATCTGTAATTTTTTAAAAAGGTAACCGACTCAACTGTAGTTTGCTTTAATATTGTTTCAAGGTGGCGGTCACTGCAACCCATGCAAAAATTTGGCTGCTGTCGTGATCAATAAGTTAGTGTTGCAAATTGCACCACCAATGAACAAAACCGTTGGCGACGGTTTGAAAAATTAAGTTTTTGTCGGAAAGATTCGGCGCTACACTGAAAACAAGGAAGCATTGGAAGAAGATTCCAAATGCTGTTTTCAGATCGTCGCCAACGGGAATGGAACTTTGACCGACAGAAAAAAACAAGCAACAACATCGGTATTTATTTAGATAACGAAAATTAATTATTTACGGAAAATATCTACGATTCGATCATCGCTCGGTTGCATAACAGCCTCCATAATTTCACCTTTTCTATTTTTCACAAGCACGAACGTTTTTAATATCGAAATAACAATATTGTGGATTTGACGTTTACCTAGACCGTTACCGAACTCAGTAATGGAACGCTTTGTTTACCGAAACTTCAGTAAAATATTTCACCGAAGTCAGTGATGAAGCTGATTCACAGACCTGCCGGTAAAAATGTTTACCGTTTTCGGTAAATTAAAACAAAATTACCGAAATACGGTCATTTCATTTACAGTTTTCAGCAATAAAGCGAGAAAATACCGAAACATCTGTAATTTTCAGCATTACCGATCTAAGACGGTAATTTTTTTTTTACCGAACTCAGGGTCTCTGTTTAAGTGTGTACGGAGAGTTGCGATTTAGCGTACACTGAACCAATTTGACATATTCCTGTTATGTTGAAGTCTAATAAATTTGCGCTATAAGATAATCCATTGGAAATGATATGATTGAAAATGTGTCAGGTAAATTCTATATGAATATCTGATACATTTACAATGCTGATAATTTGATAACTTTTATATGATCGTCATATCATAAATGAAAATCGGTCAAATTATAATAATTAACTGAAATGGATTTGAAACCCATAAGCATAAGCTTTACTTTTCACCACAATATAATATATGTGTCATAAATCAATCGAAGTAAAGTTTATGTGAAAACCACATGAAATTTACTTCTTCTTTTGACACATATATTTAATCGATTTCTAAAAATAAATCGAAAAATAAACATCAGGCTTTCACAGTTGTGTCTTTTTTTTTTAGTAGCTGATTTGGGATTCGATCAAGAACTGTTGAGGTGTGATGGTTTCGGTGTCTGCGCTCGATTCCACTGGGCCACGGCTGACTTCAAGATTGAGCTTGTTCAAATAGCATGAAGTAAGAACAGCTCTCCCGACATGGAATGTAGTGCAACTTTATGCTCGTTTTGCTAGAGTGAAGACAAATAACACTGACAAATTTATGTTCCGTTTCAGTGGTGTCGTTTGTTCAAATCTTTCTTAATGCACCTGTGTGCAATAAAACAACGACTAAATTATATGAGTTGATGGAACTGGTTCATGAAGTTCGAGTACTAGGGCTGGAATCTGAATTAGTTGTGTAGAAGGCTTACAATTAGAATCATAGCAAAGTAAATATTACAGTAGAATCATTTTTTTTTCAATCTCAATACATTATTTTCCGGAACCCCTTTTCTTATGAAACAATAACAAACAAAGATTTTTCAATACAGTATCTTTGTTGTTAGCAATATTTAGTTCAACTAATCATTTAAAAAAGTGTAGGATAACATCGTTGAAAATTGTTTCAATAATTTATAAAGAACTATCATGTACACTAGTAAAAATCCACACATAACTAATAGAAAATTTCTATAAAATATTAAGCATAATATTCATTTGGCTACACAAAATTAGATATCATGGAACAAAACACATACACATTATGTGTCATATAAACAGTATGTGTGATCACATATAGAGATGATATGTGCAAGTGAGATTTATGTGTCTGGCATATAGAAACTATATCATAAATTTAATTGCAAAAATCTATGTGTGGAACACATAGAAACAATCATTGACTTTTTCTCAGTGTAAGATGTATTTTATTGGGAGCGATATTCATCCCAGAAAAACATGCCAAAACAAATGTTGGATTTCTTAAAAGGCAAATCTATATGACTATTTAATGATTGGGATAGATCTGTTAACAATCTTTAAACCTTAGAAATCAAAGGAAGCTATTCTAATGAGATATACATGTTTTCCTATACTGCAAAGTTAAATGACAGTCCAATAGTTTCTACATGTCATATCTACAAACGTCAAAAATCGTTAAAAGCCACTCCAATAAAATATACATGATTATCTTATAAGATACATCTTTTAGTGAGCAATATTCATCGTGAAAACAGATATATTTTACTTAATTTTCTCATAGTGCAAACTTATATGATTTTCCAATAGTTTCTAGATGTCTATTTCCGCCCATTACATATCACCAGTTTTTCACCATGAAATATATCAGACAATATTCATATACATCTTATATATCACTAACCACGCTCGAAGCAAAGTATTATCAAGTACTAAGTATCTGAAATTACGATAGAAATCATTCCATATCGCAGTCATAGTTTTTAAGTGATAATCCAATGGAATCTATCAATCATCACATAGAATGAATAAATCTGCTGACATTGCTATGTTATAAGATGAATCCAATAAACGGTACATGTCGTTTTGTTTCAGTGTAACGTTTATACTATTTAGATTTCAATATTTTTTGAGTGTACAGATAATTACAGACATATTTTTTGACATTCATACACAGCAAAAAAAAATGTAATATCGATCAATGTAATTCAAGCTAATGTATGAAATAATGATGTAATAGCAAAAATCAGATACAATATTACATCAATGGATGTAATTTTGTTCGCAAAATCGATGTACATCGTTCAACGTTATATTACACAACCGATGGATTGACCTGGTTGCAGCAGTTTGGATGTAATATTCAACAACTTTTTTTCTGTGTACAGACTTTTGAAATAATCATCTGGCATCCCTGACTCGTCGCCTCGCTCGGCGCGCAATACTATTTATTTTTCATTGGACGACTTCGCCACGGAATCAATGATCGACCCGCTGCGCCCGCTGCACGCGTCATCGGTCATCGTCTCTTTAGGAACGTAAATAGACAAAAACAACCGATTTTCCACGACTTTTTCGAAATTTTGTTCTGGTTTTCTTTAGTGCAGGAAAAATGGTTAGTATTTTTAATTCATCAATAATATTCTGTGGGTAATTCGTCCTTCTTTCCAATCAGCCACGCGTTCGAAACCACAGCCCGATCAATCGATCCAGATTTGGAGCTCGAAAATCTCCCGATCGATCTCGTGTCCGCCACCGTTCTCCTTCCATGGAACCAATGGAACGAAGCCGCCTCGAGCGACGGTCGTCTCGCAGGTCTGAAATGAATCGAGTTCGACCGCGATCGCCCTCACCTCCGAATTGCGCCGGATACTCTCAGTGGTTCTGCCTGGGGGTGTTCGGCATGAGCAATCGGACAACGGAAGGTGATCTTCGACGGATCTTTCGACGCTACGGTCCGATCGAGCGGGTCAGGGTTGTGTACGACCCGATGACACGGGAATCGCGAGGATTTGGATTTGTGTACCTTCGCCACAGGAAGGACGCACTGATTGCCAGAGATCAATGCGACGGGATGCTGTTCGATAGACGCCACATACGGGTGGACTTATCCAGGACGGGAAAGCCCCATTCACCGACCCCGGGCCAGTACTTGGGGCCGGAGAGAAGGGTTAAGCGCGAAAGGTCTGTAGAACTGTAGAAAATCTGTAGGTAACAGTTGTTAAGATATGTTTCGATTTTGATCTTCCAGGAAGCCACAAGAGAGAAGGAGGTAAGGAGCAGAAGAGTTCGAGCATTTGTGTCATGTTATTAAACTTGAATTTTCCGTTAGCGTATTCGATTGCCGTGTAGTTCGGCGGATCCCAACGGAACGTAAATTCCCATCGCCATTGGTTCCTTTTGTACATCCACGTTTTCGCCCAGTTGGATCAAGATCGGGGTCTTCTGAATGCTAACTGGTGGAACGGGGGAGTGAGTGGCGAATCGCTGGTGCATAGTGCTTGAATAAGAATTTGAAAGAGAAAGATTTCTGCTGGTAAGTGATATCTTATTTTGTTATTTTCTCGCATATGAAAGCAATTTGAAATGGGTAACCTGTTTTCTTTAACAATATTTGAGAATGTAATAAAATCTTAAGCTCACAAGGTTAGCATTATCATTTATTTGGCTTATTTAAATTTAAAAATGAACCGGATCCTCATCATTAGTGACGACAAAACTGGGAATGCATTTAGGAAGAGCTTTAAAAATTCACAAGCTCAGTTCGCCGCTCGTCGCAGGAACCGGAAGTGGAAGTGTACGCAAAGTAGATTGGGCTCATAAAAAGTTTATTTCCACTCCGTCAGAAGAAACCGTACCTAGGCAGGATTGACTCTCGCCAAACAGAGCACACTCCAATGTAATGTAAAATATTGTGCACCAGGTCCGGAGCCTGAATTTTATGAACACACACACAATATGGCGTAGTTCATGAAATTTATAACTCTTTCCGCCGATTCAGCACAGTTTCAGAATTTTTGCTCCGACTCCCATTTTTAGAAACCAGATGTTTTTTCTCGACCCATAAAATATTCTCCTACCGTCAGAGTGTAGTCACGATGCATAATTTCCTACCAACCCACCAATCCATTGATGACACTGTTTCCAACCAACTCGCTGACATAAGCCAATACCCGGCCAAGCACTCCGAGATGATAGACTGCCAGCGAAGCGCCTCAGCAGGAAGGAATATTGAGTAGGTACCTACCTTAAGGCGCTGAAAACCATGAAAACGATTGGAGAGCGGAGGTGCTGAAGCAAAAAAAAAAATGCTTCCAATATCTCTCAATTCAAATGTGCAGCGCGAAATTGGCAGCAGCTGGTGCAACCAAGCTAACCTACCTTCCTCGACGTCCGCTGATTTGCCTAGCTACCCATCCAAAGCACAGCGTTGCTGTGGCATCATCGATTCCTTTTGGGGGGTTTTTATTCATCGATTTATGTATGCACCGCCGTTGCTACCGCGTGCGATGAATGAGTGGCTGCTGGAGAATGCTTTTGAAATTAAACTAGAGTGAAGTATGATGCGCTACATGCAGCATCCCCCCTTCCACATTGGGTATTGGTTTGAGCATCAGTTGGCAGGAATTATGGTTCGGCATCGAAGCGTGTACATGGGAAGAAGTAGAACCGGTTGGTGTATGAAATTGTTACCGGAATATTTTACGGTGCACGTGTTGCAGTTGTGATTAAATATGAGCAAGCATTTTCGATACCGTTTTGGTGAGAGAACTGTCAGTCCTATCTCTTTATGTAGATGAAGATTTGGCCTCGTATGGTGTAATGCAAATGCCACAATGGGGTAAAATTCATAATGAATCCAGCGGGTATGTTTAGGCTGCGTTGCATTTGAGGTGTTTCCACTTGAAATTAACGCTTCCAAAATTACATTTTTGACGTAGGACTACGTCTGTGATTTCTATATGGAGATACACTTTGTGAAAACGAACTTATGAAAGATTTTGAACGTTAATAATTCAGCTGCCCTTGTACCAATTTCAAAAATTTTATCACCAATCAATCAGAAATATTTCTGTTATATCCGTTGTTATATCCGCAACCAAAGCCAACAAGTAAAACAAGCTGTTGTTAAGAGCTACTATTTATTACGTCTATCTTGTTGGTGGTCGGATAAAGAATCAATCTCTAACTTATGACAGTCAGGCAAAGCCTACTACATCTAGGCCTACTACATCTTCCCCTTTTAGAAAATGTCATAGGAAGAGAGCCATCTTGGAATTCTTGATTCTCGTACAGAACGTCGAATAAAGTCTCCAACTGCTTCAGATGACACGGGCTTTTGTGCGGACTGAAGTTCTCCATCTTGAGCAGCAGGTTCATGATCGATTGTCGAACAAGGATTTTCGCCAGACGTACTTGCCACTTGACCATCAGCTTCGAGTGATACGGAACCAACAGGAATAGGGACATCGTGATTGAATGGCACTTCTGGATCCAACGGTACAGCATCATCTTGAATTTCATCAAGCAGGATTTCCCATGGTAGTTGCTGCGTCGCTTGCTCTGGATCATCAGAAGTGTGACGAGGGCGCATTTGGTTTACATGCGACCTCACCAGCTTCGGTCTCCCGTTCATGTCCAGTGCAACGATATAGTTGACGGAACCTTTCCGTTCGATGACTCGACCAGGAATCCAGGACTTGGCGTTTCTGCGAAGCTGTTCAACGTAGACAGGTCATCTTCTTCAAACTCGCGCTTGACTGCTCCATGCCGCCAAGTGAACTGTTAGTTTTGTTTGTGGTTCTTGACAGCTTCAGTTACAGGAACAGGTTTCTTCAGTAGGTCCAAAGTGGTGCGCACTGGTCTTCCGAGGAATGCTTCTGCTGGAGACGTCGACTGCGGTGTGTTTCGGTTTGGGATTGAACGATACACCGAAAGGAATGTCTGCAGGTGCTCCAGTGTGGGTGATCCTTCCCCCTTGGCTAGCTGCTTGAGGCCACGCTTGAGTGAATCAACGAATCGCTCCGCTTGGCCGTTGGACTGCGGGTGGTAGGGAGCAGTGCGGAGATGGATAATACCATTTGCACGGCAATACTGTTGAAACTGCTCGCTGGTGAATTGCGTTCCGTTGTCTGAGACCAATGTGTCTAGGTTGCCGTAACGAGGAAACGTTTCACGCAGCATATTCAGGGTTGCAGTTGTGGTAATGGATTGAGTGCGAAAAATTTCGGGCCACTTAGAGAAAGCATCTACCATGACGAAATAGTAGTATCCATGGATCGGACCAGCAAAATCGATATGGACACGTTGCCATGGCTTGTCCGGGAGAGGCCATGACTCCAAGGTTGCTTTTGTCGGGGACTTCGCTGCTTCAGCACATGCAGTGCACTGACGGACAAATTGCTCCACATCGTCGTCAACGTTAGGCCAGTAGATGTAACTTCGGGCCAGAGACTTTATTCGGTCCATTCCTGGGTGTCCACGTTGCAGTTGACGAACGATCTGCTTTCGAAACTCTGATGGGACGACGATTCGATCGCCGAACATAACGCAGTTGTCGACAACTTGAAGTCCATCTCGTCTGGCGAAGAACTTCTTGACATCAGGATCAGCAACTTGCTTCGCATTTGCTGGCCAACCTTCGTTAAGGAAATTCAAGAACTGGATCCTTTCGCGTCTCAGCCACAATCATCTGGTGCGTGACTGGAAGGTTGCTGATGGTGTCGTCGAGAATTGCTTTTGCTTCAGATTCGACGCACACGGCGGCTATGACGTAATCCTCATCTGGTCTATGCTGCGATATTTCTGGCAATCCTTGGTCCAGTTCCAGCGTGCATCTTTCTTAAGGAGGGTGTCCAGAGGAGCCCTGAGTTGCTTCATCTGCTTAACGCATCTACCATAGTAGTTGACAGCACCGAGGTAAGAACGGAGTTGCTGGACATCCTTCGGAGACTGCATCTTGGAAATGGCTTCTGTTTTTGAAGGGTCAGGCCGAATACCGTCCTTATCCACGATGTGTCCGAGAAACTTGATCTGGGAGAGTGCGAAACGACATTTTTCGAGGCGTAGGTGAAAGCCATACTCACGGATCTGCTCGAGAACAGCGTAGAGACTGCGATCTTGTTCCTGCTTGGTGCGACCAGCGATGAGGATGTCGTCCAAATACGGCTTGACTCCAGGGATGCCGGCCACCATGCTGTCGATGATGCGCTGGAAAGCTTCGGGTGACGACTTGACTCCGGGGGGTAGTCGGTTATACTGGAACAGTCCACGATGCGTGTTGACCGTGAGTAGCTTTCGCGATTCCTCCTCGACCTCGACCTGTAGGTGTGAAGTAACGTGCTCCAGCTAGTTCCGCAAAGAGGTCGTCAGGATGAGGCAGTGGATGATGGTCACATTCTAGCGCGTTGTTCAGCTCCGTCGAATAATCGCCACATACACGGACTGATACATTGTCCGAATTGCGTACAACGACTATTGGTGTTGCCCAGTCCGAGAATTGAACTGGAGAAATTATACCGTTTTGCTGGAGCCTCTCAAGTTCTGCGTCCACCTTGGCGAGTGCAGCGTACGCTACTGGTTGTTTCGGGCAATATGCCGGACGTGCGTCAGGCTTGAGGTACAACTTCACTTGCGTTTTTGTGCATCTACCCAGCGTGCTTCGAAAAACTTCCGGAAACTGTTGCTTGAGTTGATTGGTGAACTGATCAGAACGTTGGTGTACGACGTTGACCAAGCTGCTTATCGGCACAGACCACAAATCGAACAGATCCATAGTCTCGATTCCTAGAACGTTGAGTTCAGCGCTGCTTGAGATGAAAATGCGACCAGTCTTGGTAACATTCTTGATGGTGATCTCGGTCTGGAACTCAGCGAGAAGGTTGAGATTGCCACCAGAAGCTGTAATTGCAGATTCTTCCGTCGGTTGAGTGGGTGGCTGTCCGATGCTGATCCATGTTTCTTCTGAGATTATGGTGATGTCGGACGCCGAGTCGTGTTGAAGTTTGACTGCTACACCATTGAGCTCGACCGGGATGAACTTCCGCTTGCTTCCGATGTTGCGAACCCTGTAGATGCTTTTTGTCTTCACGTTCTCTTTGGATTTGGCCTGTTTGAACGGTTTCGACGGCGCATTCTTGTTGCTGTTGCAATAACCTTCCTTGTGTCCTTGTTGCTTGCATCTGGAACAGGTGTGCGAAGCGAACGGACACTCACGAACATAGTGCTGGTCGCCACACTTCCAACATGGCGTTTTCGGCACTTTTTGGTTCTTTTTTGAGGCAGGATTATTCTGGTTGCGAGAAACAATGTTGACGTTGCGTGCTTCTTTGTTCTCCACCATCAATGTGTCCTGCTTGACATTGGCAGCAATCTCTAACTTATGACAGTCAGGCAAAGCCTACTACATCTAGTCCTACTACAGCATCGATAGCAATCGACTGTTGATTTTCAACAAGAAACTATTGAAAAAGTGGTAAATGTCAAGCATTGTCCAAAAGCGTAAAAATAACTAACAAATCCACCAATTACTTGCATGCATATGCTGTTTCCCCAACACAGTCATCAGAGAATCGTTTCTAGACGAAACATGTCGAAGCGGCATTCGCATCCGATATTCGAGCGTGTGTGAATCGGGAGGATGCAATTGCGTAAAATTTTGCATGAGTTGCATATTCAGAACCACACAAAATGCTCTGCAGAGTTGTAATATTGTAATCAAACTTGGAAGCAGGGGTGCAAGTGATCTTGATCGATTTTCTTATTGAGTGTCTGTTTCGTAATAACTCGACGGCAAACACATTCATTGATACGTTTGTCCTATATGATAGAAGAGCATAGCAGAAATAGTGCGAAATAGGTTAGTGAAGGTCATTATTATTATTATTTAACTTTATTAGGGAGGCTTTCAGCCTTGGGCTGGTTCGCCTCCAAAGCAGTGAAGGTCATGGTCATGGTCATCAAAAGAGGAAATCGATGAAGAGAATTGACTTTCACCCCTCGACTTCTAAGCCCCTTAATTCAGTCGTCGTCATAGCAATGAAAACTAGCATGGCACCGCTTTTGGTTCTTGGGTTACACTTGCTGGTTGCAATGCTGCTGTTCGACATTTTTGAAGGACCACCAAAAAACATGAAATCAAGAGCAAATTTTCATTATGTCGTAAGTAACATTCGCACCAATCCGAGAAAAATAAAGTTTTGTTTTGATGACCGAAAAGTTATTCTTATTTCCAAGTAAACACATATAATCTCATAGTGATAGCAATGTTTAACATATTTAGCAGGGTTTTAATCATACAAAAGCAAATCGCTAGCTTTCATGCTAAAAAATACTGGTTTTTGAGTCAAAAGTTATTATACGTCGTTTGGTGGCCCCTATTGTTACTTAAGTCAAAGTGTATTTACCAGGATATTCAGGAGAATTATCAATTACGTCTCCTTACGTGCAGTCTATTAATCATTTTAGGACCACCGAAATCATCTTAGCAACAAACAGTTCGATTTATTCACTTTAATAATGAGAAAGCGAAACGACGAACGTACACTTTTCAAGGGTTTCTCAGCGCTGTTACTTAAGTCAAACGGCATCTCCATAGAAATTGGGTGACTTAAGTAACATCGAAAACTATTTTGATCGGAAGGTGATTACGTCAAAAAGCAATTTGACTGGTAAATAAATTTAAAAATGGGATTTGATCCTATATTCGGACAGTATATAGTGTAATAGCAGGAGAATCGATTGACACTGATAGCTCGACTTTGTTTACCTTTGTTACATTCGTCGTAATGAAAATTTGCTCTTGATTACACTTTTTCTAGAGATGCCTAGAAGCCCAATTGTTCGATTAACGATTAATCGTAAAGATTTTCCCAGCTATTCGATTAAATATTTATCGAATTTTCCTTTGTACTTGTTTGATTTAGTGCAGTAGAGAAAATAAATAAAAGTACTAATTTATCTGAACAGGCATAGAGAAGAACCATGACATGAAACAGCATCATCAATTCGCCGAAAAAAGTTTTGAGTCTTTCTGCTAAAGGTTTACCAACTTGTTGAGAGAATGAGTTTAACGAGAAAAACTTAAAAGGGGAGGAGCTTTAGCTGGGTGGACACTGATATTCTGCGACCTTCCAACCTGTCGCAGACACCAGTTCAACCCCTGTTCAGCAGCAGACGGGTCGAGACTCGGATCGAGACTCTTGCGAGTGCCCAATCATTGAACCGAAGAATATGGGATTGTCCGGTCCGATTTGCTGATCCAGCTGATCCAGCTCATCATCTTCCAAAGGCTTTACTACCATTGGACCTTTTCAGAGCCACCAACATTTTCCAAAAGAGTTAAATTTATGAACATGTCCCAACTAAAGCTTATATCAAAAAGTTCTCTTCAGGGCAATCATAGTCATGCAATCAGAGAGAATCCCGCTCAAATTCATATTCCTACACAAAACTGAAGCTCCTGCTGCAGTTAACAAATAACATTTATTATATAAGACCACGTACTCCGGAGAAAACACACTTGGCAGTAGGGAAACATCCCGTAACCTTTATTAAGCCAAGATATTAATTGAGAACCCTCCCCCTAATCCCTTACATAATTTGTGGTTGAGCTCTTACTTTACAACATAGATTAGAAACGTTTAACGCACGCACACTAGCGGATGCATCGCCGTGTAAAGTTGTAGACCACTGTGCAGTGGAAGTTCATTTGTTCCGATACAATCCTTGTTCTGCAGAAAACGAAGCAAAGATACAAGTCAACGTTGCATCTCTCAGAGATTCGACGCGAACACCGCTTGGGAAAAACCATATTCCGATGTGATTTGTTTGGTCCTTGAGAGTACTGATGAGGAAATGTAAGATTCCTTCAGCTTGGAGGAGATCTGCTTGATAAAGCTTCAGACGCGAGACGAATAGGCTGCAAGCAATCTAACAGTGATTGTATTGCTTCTATGTCATCCTCTTTGACCGAGAGATGCTTGAGATTTAGCTCACCGAGAGTTTCTTCGGCACATGAGTGTACTAGCAAAAACCTCCTTTCAAGCATAGTTTCCACACTGTTTCATCTGGTCTTTACATCCAATAAAAGTTCCAATACCTTTCCATTTGCTTTTGAAATATTTGCTTGAAGAAGTCCATTTTCAAAGGAAAACATTTAAAAAGCTTCACTATATGTATGATATGCAACAAGATCGGTTTGACTTAGGTTACACGGCAGGTATAGATACATACACTATAGGGTTCAGAGTCTGATTCATCAGAACATAGATCAGAACTAGAATCAGTATACTGCACAACACGTTTGACTTCAGCTGAGCCTTTATAAAGGACGTCGGAAACAGCCAAGAATGAAGGCCATGGTTGTAGCATAGAGGTAACTCTAAGACTAAAAGGTCGCGAAATAATGTGCTCAACTTTTTGGCTCCGCTCTGGTACTCTCTTCGGTCCCAAGCTAATCGATTCACCCCTCAAAACATAGGAAAAACCAATAACCCCTCATTTTATCTGTCAAACTTTCATAGCGAATCAAAACAAACATTGCGTAG